TGTCAAGGCCGCCCAGAGAGAGGCCAGGGAGGGGGCAATTTGGGCTGGACCCCAGTTAAAGGTGGCCCAGAAAAGAATTACATTGAAATATACATATAGGTATAACTGCCAACAAACTTCCAGAATGCAGGATTTAGTGGCCATTTCTCGCACCCATGAGATTTCAAAATTTTCCTTGGGAGAATACCCCCGGATGCCCTCAATCGTAGTCTTAGAAGACGGAATCACGTGGAGTCAGAACTCAATTTTTCCCCTGGACCCCCAAATTTCCCTTGGGGGCGCTGTACTGTGCATGTTGATTTTGTGATCATTTTATATATAATTTGTAGCCTGTCTTTTGGTTACACATTACTAAAAAGGGTGCGTTCAGAAGTTTTGAGGGCGTAGCTTCTGCTTGGCTAAACTTTGCACAAAAATGTGCAGTTATAAAAAATTCTTAAAATTAGGTATGATGGAAGAACAGTTCGTTTCAATATATATAGTAGATTTGCTTGATGTGAGCCGCTAATTTCTTAAGATTGTTCATTAACGACGTAGTGTCATGTTTCTCGATTTGCCAGTTTTAGATGCTCAATTTTAATTCGTTTCAAACAGTATGTTTACTGCGTTTCAAAATGCCTGTTGACCATGTTGTCTTTACCAATGACAGTCTTGTTGGAGATAAGATTAAAATGTTTGATCAGAAAATTCGGCAAATTAAGTGTTAAACAGACAAATGCGCACCATCAGTGCCATTTTCTGCACATGTTCGACGTCCTAATACATTATATCAAATTCAGTAAGTATGCTATATTTTTCGCCTCCGCGTGAACGTGAAATTAGCTTTTTCTTTTGCGTGATGCGTTATTTAGATTTTTTTGTCGTGAATGCGTGAATTCAAGGGGCTCATGGGGGACCCTATATTGGTTGAGTATTTTAAAAATTATCTAAAGTTTTGTACTGAGGATTTCAAAATATTTTAATACATATCACATGCAGTGTGCATGCAGGCATATAAATATAGTGCAACAGTATTAAACTATGGATAATTTTTATGAAATACTCAACCAATATACTTCATTCAAACATTTTTGAACCCCTGGTTGTATAGCGATACAGATTATATAAAGTATGTAAAGGTTTGAGCAAGTTTTCACCAAATTTCCCGACGAAATTTGATGATTACATTCTAAACTAAATATTTAGTATGTCTCGGACTGACGTGCAAAGTCCATTCACTTTTATTCGTTTTAAAGGACGTTGGCAATAAAAAATAGTTTAGTTCATTTGAAAGAACTCTTAAAACTATATATTAAACTCTATTACAGATTGTTTATATCTTGCTTAGTTTTCAAAATATTTCGACTGAAAAAAGTGAGCTGTTCGCCATCTTGGATTATTAAGGATATACATGTTACGTCAAGAGAGGGGTCACGCTAATTTTTGTATCTGCGCGTAGCGCAGATATATTACTATCGCGTCAGTAAAGTAAAGTTAAGTTGTTAAGTTGTTAAGTTAAGTCTTTAATTTAAGCCAACCTTGTTTTGACCTGTTCGCAGGCTAGAACAGCTTTAAAACAAGATGGCGTCTTTCGAAAAGTTTTCAAGAGTAGTAATCATTAGTAATCCTGACTTTATTTTGATAAAATCTTCTTCTATAGCAGTCTTGGACTGATACAACTCTTACAGTCAAACATGATGTTCTGTTCTCATGAGTATTTCAACATTGCAATCAATCTTGCAATGTTGATTGCAAATTGCTCCGAGCAAATTACACGCAAGTTGCAACTGTCCATACTGGAAAGTTCGTGTTTCGCGCGCCAAAGATTTTGCGCCGCAATTTTCGTCAGGATATTTCACGCCAAAAAAGTCTTTCCAGTGAGAGTAACGTGCGCCAAATGCGATTGGCGGAGCCACGAGGCGAGCATTGTGCGACCTAGAGTCTCTCAAATGTCATTTCCTGGACTTTGGAGGAAAAATTGACGGTCAGAAAACACTTGTTAAATTTAATAGTAAAACTGAGCATTACACATGCGAATTCATGTTATATCGTGTTACACGTGAAGTCGTGAACATACTCGGCTCAAAGGTAAATAATAAAATTGTGTTGACCACGTACTTTAAATATTAAGTTATCTATTCAGGCTCCTGACTCAGTCGACGATGGTGTTTCCCCAATTTTTTTCCGTAGACAGTCGGATCTTTAATCAAGCGATAACTTTATGTACTTTTCCACATGAATGGAAAATTGCAAGGATAATTCCCCTTTTTAAGAATGGCAAACGAAACTTGCCAGGAAATTATCGACCAATTTCTGTGTTGCCAGCCATTAGTAAAATTATGGAACGTATCCTATATACCCAACTTTATGAGTATTTGAGTGCAAATAGCATACTTTCTGAACATCAACTTGGTTTCAGAAAATTTCATTCAACTGCAACAGCTTTACTTGATTGCACAAATGATTGGTACATAAACATGGATAGAAAACTTTTTAATTTGGTTGTATTTGTAGACTTAAAAAAAGCCTTTGATACTGTTGACCATGAGATCTTATTGCAAAAACTAAAACTAGTTGGAATCACAGGAAGTGCATTTCTATTACTCAAATCATACTTAACTGGTCGTACTCAAAGATGTGAAGTCAATGGATCTATTTCAGGGGAAAACGACGTCAAATGTGGTGTACCCCAGGGGTCTATATTGGGGCCACTATTCTTCTTACTCTATATTAATGATCTACCTGCATGTCTGAGTCAAACAAAACCACGGCTGTTTGCTGATGATACAAATATTACAGCAGCTGGAGAATGCTTAAGTGATCTTGAAGATGCAGTAAACTCAGATTTAGAAATGCTTCGTAAATGGCTCATGGCAAACAAACTGAGCTTGAATGTGGCGAAAACTGAATTTCAAATTATTGGTACTAAACAGATGCTGAAGAAAGCTTCTGTTCAGCAACTTAAAATTCACATTCAAAACATACCCATAAAGCAGGTTTTTCAATGTAAAACACTGGGTGTGACTGTTGATGAAAATTTGTGTTGGAAGAGCAATACAGATAATATATGTAAAAAGATATCATCTGGAATATACGCTCTTAAAAGCATTAAAGAATATGTTGATCAAAAAACACTCGTTTCCGTATACAATGCTATAATTCAACCATACTTTAGCTACTGTTGTGAAGTTTGGAATATATTTGGTGAACCGCAATCCACGCGTCTCCAAAAACTTCATAACAGAGCTGCTCGTGTAATAGCATGTGTGCCTAATGAGGTAGATCAACAAACTGTGCTAAATATATTAGGATGGGAACCACTCAAGGAACAAAGAGTGAAAGCAAAGGCAAAAATAATGTTTAAAACGCTAAATAACACGGGGCCAAATTGTCTCAAAGAATTATTTACTTTCAAAAAAGAAATATTAAACCGCAGTCTTCGTAACAGCTCAAGTACCATACGTTTGCCCAAGCCAAACACAAACAATATGAAAAAGAGTTTCATGTATGATGGAGCTTCCATATGGAACTCTCTTCCAAAAAATATAAGAGAAAGTAATTCGCTCTCAAGTTTTAAAAGAAAAATCGCTACCTATAGCTTATAAAGAAAACCACATCATCGTAAATAGCAAACTTTTTGTATATATTTTAATAATTTTATATTCTGCATGTTAATACTTCCTTATTATTTTACTTGTAACAATTTGTTAATGTTTTTTACACGCCCATTGTGGAAACCAGCTTCTGCTGACAATGTTAGCGTGGTTAAATAAAGTTTATCATCATCATCATCATCACTCCTCATGGATAGTCGGACGCATCATTGACCCGCGTCCAGGGTAACCCACTGGTACACTATTATAACCTTCATGTTCTTCTTCGATCACGTGTAGAAAGATGGACGATTTGCTTCGCGATGCCATAGGAAATCTACAAACTTGTTTTTCTGGTTCCGAAAATACTCAAAAACTGTTATTGCGAGTTAAAACCATATATAGCATCCCAAGGAAGTATTGCAGAATACCCGTCTGCTAGTAACATGATCATATCATCCAGCCAGCCACTGGAACTGGATACGTACTGATATACAGTACCTGATCTTATTGCCTCGTTCTAATATACACAAACTAATTACTAAGACAATATTACGAACTGATACTATAAAGGAAACATCATTAAAAACTCAGTCAATGTTTGATACTACGCTTAGTATGCTTTATAATATAAAATTTTTTCCTGTGCAGTGCGACCCATTGCCTATCCATTACGACCCAATGCCTATCCAGTACGACCCATTGTCTGTCTATATTGACCGTGATAACACAATAATGCTTTGACTCTGAAACAATTTTGTCCCTAATTCCCCTCCATAAACCATGCACAGAAATTCGCGAGCAGGCATGTGTTTTCTCTCTTAGTTGTTTTAACCAGGAACTTTACGCGAGTGATAAACTTTCAGCGATCATAGAAAATTGCAATGTCAAAACATGATCTCGTCTCCAAACTACGCCAGAATCATGCGTGAAAACATCATAAGGCTGAGTTTTATAAAGCACCAAGCCACAATAACTAGTTGACTGCGTATCCACTGCACTAAAAATATAGAGCAACCTATAGCGTGACAATTTGATCTATTAATGCTAATCTAACTGTGTGCCTCATTCTCTAAATATAGAGCTACTGTACCTTTAACCCTATGACAATTTAATATATTAATGCTAAGCCACTGTATAGTAGCTACCTTTATCACCACGGGATTTTAATCTATCAATCTATTTATATTGTTAATCTATTGAGAATAAATATAGAGTTAATACATCGTACCCATGATGTTTGAAAGGCATAGCTTAAAAAATAGACGGGTATTCTGCAATCGCTCAGATTTTGGCATCTTAACCAAGCAATTAATAGGCCTACAATATTTTGAAATCACCAATTACGCGCGCAAGACACACCGGCAAGCGCATCTAATAGAGAGTTTAAGATTCGCGTTATACGTCAAACGGCAAACGCCAGGCAAAGAAAAATTTTACGATATCAGGCAATAAAGAGTAAATTAGCTTGCAGTTTTAAAACCGAAATACGTAATTATTCTTTCGACACAAGAAAGAAGATATGAAACGAAAACGTTCAACAAAAATTTTGCCAAGAAAATTCAAACTTGCCGTTTGCCGTTCCCGGAAACGTGAAGCTTTATAAACTCCCTATTAATAAGAAGAGTATCCGCCGAATATCAATGAGGAGTCCGACTGTCTACGGGAAAAAATTGGCGGTGTTTCCATATTGAAAACAAAACTGTCAAAACATTTATATCGATATGTCAAAAACACCGAAGCATCAGAAGCAATGAAACATATAAATATTGTAGCGGGAAAATTTTTCATTTACGTGAGTACGTGAATTTCAACTTTTCATTCTTTCAAGCTCTAGTTGCCCTAAGATTTGGTACATACGTGTCATTCACGCTGTCACGCCACGCCAAAACGAGAACATTCGGATTTTAATGAGGTTATGCAATAACAAAGGTTAACAGCTAGGGAACCAAGCCTCGTTACGTCGGCACATCATGTGACCAAAAGGGGGCTGGGCGAGTATGTAATAAGAGGTTGGCCGCGCATTGGTGGTATTAGTAATCATTGTGCGTTGGAAGCGTAGTAAACGTATTAGGAACAAAGATTTTTTTTTCTCTCCTGTTCTTTTATATTTCCACCAATTGTTAATTGGTGTGAAGGTGTTAGCCCTGCGGGGGTGGTCTGCTCAAGATACCACTGGCATGGATCTTAACCCGAGTCCAAGTAACAGTAGTACCAGTAATCGTTCCAGGCCACCCCTCGGTCACCCGGGCTAACACCTCACCATCCAAACGGGTAAGTATGGTGAACGAAGGGTTAAAGCTAATTATGCGCCAAATTTTGGCGCATACCGTATTTACTCGTTTGAGCGCCGCGGCGCTCTTTAAATTTTCAGAGCTTCAAATGCGGCGCTCATTCGAGGGCGGCGCTCAATCGGGGGCGGCGTTCTTTAAAAAAACTTTTATTTGTGAATTATATCAAGGACTTTTAACAATAAAATAAACAAGTTTTGAATGTCTTTATCACTAAATGTCCCCATTTTGACGGTGGAAAATTATTACACTGTTTAGTGCGGCGCTCATTCGGGGGCGACGCTCTTTAAAAAAAATGATCTCAAATGCGTAGTGTTATTGTGAACTTTATTTAGTCACGGTGGACTCATCAGGATTTTACACACTTATGATAAAGTAACAAAGGAAATTAGATATATGATAAATTATACTATACATATTTACAAAACTACCTGTTTTTCATGAGTGCCGTGCATTAAATTGATAAAATTAGATAAAATATTTAAAAATTATTGAATAAAGTTGCTACAGTCAGACTTAAATTTATGTAAAGTACTAGCCTGTCTTAACTCAGTAGGAAGAGAATTCCACAGTACTGCACCGCTATAACTAAAGCTATTTTTCAAGTAATTAGTACGCGGTAGTGACAAAGCTAGTTTGTTACTGGTGTCTCTCAATGCATAATTTGTGATACTATTGCGATCAACAAACATATTAGAAAGATAATCTGGAGCAAGACCATTCAAGGATTTATACACCATGATAGCCTTGGTAAGCCTACGCTGAGATACAAGATTTTTCCATCCAAGACTTTCGAAAAGATAATCGGCATTTGTATCATAACTAGAAGATGTCAATACCCTGGCAGCACGATTTTGTAATTTTTGCAATTTGTTAACTAGATAACTACTGCAACTATCCCAGACAGCAGAGCAGTAGTCGAAATATGGTTGAACTAAGCACTTGTAAATAAGTTGCATTGTGGTAAAAGGAACATAAGGTCTAATGCGTTTTAGTGCACCAATACCGGAAGCAACTTTTTTACTCAGTTTCTCAATATGAACATTCCAGGATAAGTTCTCATCAATGTGTACGCCGAGTGATTTTGTATGAGAGACTTGTTTAACTGGAACGTTATTTATTACTAATAAAGGAGTAGATTGAAAAGTGTTTATTCTTTGGCGAGAGCCAATTAGCATAAATTCAGTTTTAGTCTGGTTTAAAGTAAGTTTGTTTGCTGATAACCATTCACTGACATTAGCAAGATCCTCGTTAAGATTATGATTAATTTCATGTATGTTATTACTTGCATATGTCAAATTAGTGTCATCAGCAAACATTCGTGCCCGAGAGTGTATTAGACAATTAGGAAGATCATTAATATAGATTAAAAATAAAAGCGGGCCTAATATAGTTCCCTGAGGAACCCCACATTGTAGTAATCGATTCGAGGAGAAATGACCGTTAACAAAACACTTTTGATTACGTTCATTTAGATACGATCTTAACCAGTTACCCGCAGTTCCCTTGATTCCATATGCATTAAGTTTGTTCAGCAATATTTCATGATCTACAGTGTCGAACGCTTTTTTAAGATCAAGAAACATTACAGCATTTACATTACCACTGTCAATATTATAAGCCCATTCGTTGGTAGCCTCAAGAAGAGAGGTGACAGTAGAATGTAGGCCTCGAAATCCCGATTGATAATTAGTTAATAATTCATTTTCAGCTATAAATGTATATAGCTGATCATAAATTACCCTTTCAAAAACCTTAGCCACAATAGGAACAATAGAAATGGGACGATAGTTATCAACGCAATTGCGTTTGCCTTGTTTGTATATAGGAATAACTTTAGCACATTTCCATTCGTTTGGGAATATGCCTGTAGTGATAGAACGATTAAAAATAAGACAGAGGGATTCTGCAATTAAGTCAGAGCAATCTCTAATTAACCTAGAAGATATTTTGTCTAAACCTGTTGCTTTAGAAGTGCTTAACGTGGACAGTAATGCGTAAACGGTTGGAATACTTATTTCCCTCAGTTGAAAAATAGCATTATTTTGGTTAGGTAAATAATCAAGATAAGACCGATTGCTATAATTAAGATTAATTTTATCTGCAAGGTCTGGTCCGATGTTTGAAAAGTGATCGTTAAACGCATCAGCAATTTTGCTAGGGTCATTAATTAATACGCCATTCAAATCAACCTCGCCAATGTGAGGGCTTTTCCTATTTTTAGAAGTAAGTTCATTAATGATCTTCCAGGTCTTATTAGGATTGTCTTTATTATCATTGAAAGAATTTTTGAAATAGGCTTGCTTTGCGTAGAAGATTTCAGAATTAACAAAATTACGCATTTTCTTAAAAGAAAGCCAATCTTGAGTATCGTTGGAACGAATTGCTTTAATTTTTAGGACATCTCGCCTATGCATTTTATCTTTCAAAAGAGATGTGATCCAAGGCGATTTAATAGCCTTAACGCGCTTAGCTCGAATTGGGGCGTGCTTATCTGCGACAGAATTGAATGTGGCTTTCCAAGCATGCCACATGTCATTAGGGTTTTCGTACTGATTGATATAGTTCCAACTCTGTTGACTAATATCATTACGAAATTTAGTAGAATCAAAGTTTTTAAACTTTCTGTAGTTTATTGAAGAATGTACCCCCGTCGATGAACCCACAGAAAGTTTGGGAAAGGCGTAAATAAGACTATGATCGCTTATACTCACATGAGAAACACCAGAGCAAACAACCTTGTCAGGAGTATTTGTAAAAATATGATCTAACAATGTTGAGGAGGAGTCTGTGATTCGAGTAGGTTCATTTATAAGCTGAGAAAGATTATATAAATCGGCAATATCCATGAGTGACTTCGAATCATGATCTAAGACTGTAGAGCTCAAATCACAGTTGAAGTCGCCCATGAGGTAATACTCGATATTTTCGGAATCGAGCATACCTAGAAGAATTTCAAAATAATTAAACATTGCTACAGGCGAATTAGGAGGCCTGTACCAAGTGGTAATAAGAAAAGGCTTGGCTCTAGGTTTATTAACTGAAATACACAGGTTTTCCAATTGCTCAAAAGATAGATCATGCCGAACTGAAAAATTTATACAGCTACGAATATAAAAACAAACCCCACCGCCAAATCTACCATTGGAATCTCTATCTCGCCTAACAATTTCGTATCCAGGTATATATGTACTTCGTTGTCACCAACCGTAGAGTCAAGCCTTGTCTCATTAATAGCCAGTACATCAATCACATTATTTGATAGATAGATTCTAAGCTCATCAATATGTTTGACTAAACTGGTGATATTAAGTGAGGCAAGTTTAAAGCCACTCCTGTTTGGCAAGAGCAGGTTTTGAATGTTAGAAGTAGTTTGCATAGTCTTAGATTGAACATTATTTACTGAATTAGCAACTAGATATATATAGACATCATTTTGGTACTTCAAAGTTGAGACAGCTAATGTTCACATCGTTATCGAAGGTATGAATATATACACACACACTGTATGATCAAACAAATCACAGAACCATTTGCGTTTGTGACGTTCTAGTTTCTCTAAAATACTACCACTTGTTTAATACGAACACCTCTTGTCTGCTTCAAGTGACAGTTTAATATCAGTCTCAGCTGAATATGCATTTTTATAGCAGAAATAGACGCACAGAACGATTGCTGTTTGTATAGCTTAATTGTTACAAGCAAGTTTATACATGCCCATAGCATTATAAACTTAAGTTAATGAAACAAGCGTTAGGACAAGAGTAAAGTTGTGCAAAGTCTCCTAGAGTACAAAGGTCTGGTACAAAGGTCAATCTGTGAATCATGTGATCATACACGTGCAAAGCGCAAGGCTGAATTAACAACAAACCATTGTCAAATCTCTTCCCATGCATGTGCAGGAAAATAGACCAATCAGGTTTCACCCCTTCGTCTGCATAGTTTCCTGCTTGGATCAGTAAGCCTCATTGTGTCACTTGCAAGCAAAATTGTATGACCTCTGCGGCAAAGTACTTCGAAATTACTACCCATCCCACCCTTCAAGGATTCTGCACCACTACCGGGTGGCCCAAAAAAAAGTACTCCTGTTTGATTCGTAATAACTTCTAAACAAGTAAAGTTTTTAAAGAGAAATAACTTGCATTAAATAGAGGAAGGACTAACTTAGATTTTGATATATTACAGTTGTATTTAACTTAAAAATTGACGGAGATATTAATGTTAAAAATGGGGAGCATATTTTGGAATGTGTCTAAAATTAGCGAAAATCGGCATATCAAATATTAACTCCAGCGTTTGTTTGCTTAATGACATATTAGGCTAACTTGTATTTCGGCGAATTATCGTTAAGGTTTGTAAGGGATATGGCGTAGATTTAGACATCTTACATGTAAGTCTTAACTCATTGTTTCCTGAAATATGAACGTTCGAAATTATGCAAGTATTTAATATTAGGTCTTTGCAAACTTAAATGTACATGAAAGACTGACCATGGAAGGCAGGCGCTTAAATTTTTCGTATTCTTAAATAGCCTAATTTTTTATGTTTTTAATGGGTTCAAACAGACTGAGTAGATTATTTCTCGGTTAGAGCAGGATGAATATTCTTTATTGAAGGAAATAATATTGCTTTTTGCAATACACATCACCGTATCAACGCTACTATTTTGTTACGTTTTGTTCCAAAAATGTTGCATGTCTCTGGGGAGTTGCTTAATTGTTATGTCTTATGGAGTTGTATGGTTTGATTGCGTTTCATATAATTCTCAGTTTACTCCATGAACTTGCCAAGATTAAGAAACGGCAAAAGAGTTTGGGTGTTCTTAACAAGATTTCAGAACGTTGCAGAAGTTAGAAGAGCTTCACAATTCCGTTGTGACAGCATGCCCTAATTCAGAACTACGAACGATCCAATGACGATCCTTCGCGATGCAGTGGTCTCATGAAATAAGGAAACGTATTCGTGCTAGGAACACACGCGAATTTCGGACGAATGAATCTTGCTTGTATTTTGTAGATATAATAATACTTTGTTTCATAATAAACAATTTGTCAAGTGTCATTTATTTACTGGTAATAGTGCATGTTTCAGTCGGGCAAATCTTGATTAATATTTGATACGCCGATTTTTGCATATTTCAGACACATCCAAAAATATCCTCCCGAATTTAAAGATTAATATCTCCGTGAATTTTTAAGTGAAATACAACTGTAATATATCAAAGTCTAAGTTAGTCCTTCCTCTATTTGATGCAAGTTATTTCTCTTTAAAAGCTATACTTGTTTAGATGTTATTACGAATCAAACAGGAGTACTTTTTTTTGGGCCACCCGGTATATCATAATCCGTATCACATAATAAATACGAATCTGTAAATATTGTTTTGATATGCAATCCGGCATCAAGATTCACATGAAATGCAATTCATGTAGTGTTATAGATAAAGTATTATGGAGTAGTTACTGGTTAATATGTTATTACAGGCACATATATATTTTGTAATATACAGTATTGGAATTGACTTTGCAAGTCTGGTTGTAAAAATAAAAATATTTGGTTGTTTGGGGATGGAGTGCTCCCAAAGGTCACCCTCAACCCCATAGACTCACATAAATCAATGTATTATACAGTGTATTGTATAGTAAACAATGACCATCACGGGGATCTACTACCCCTTGGACATTAAAATAAACAATGACCATCACGGGGATCTACTACCCCTTGGACATTAAAGTAAGCAATGACCATCACGGGGATCTACTACCCCTTGGACATTTAGGATGCCCATCTCGGGGATCTACTACCCCTTGGGTAAAGTCCAACATGGGGGAACTACGACCCCCTGAGGACATATAATTATATCATAATCATATTGCTGTAATAGTGAGTCTGTGGGGCGACACTTTGGCCAGAGTTTAAAGTATAATCGGAGCATTTCTCCTCGACAACCCTTCTCCCACAACATTGTGTGTGTCATAGTTGTTTTCTTAATTGTCTTAGAATATTTGCTTAACGAATTGGTGCATTAATGTTTAAATTATAATAATAAAGTAAGCAGTTCTTGCTGGGCTCATTAGGACACCAGGAAATAATAAAAGCGAATCTATAAAGATCCCATGCAATATTAAAATTTTGGTTATGTCAATAATTTGTGGCACTGCAGCTAGCTGCTGGAGCACAGCTACTTGAATTTTTCACAAGAATAGATTTCACTGACCTCCACAAATGGAACATTTCAAATATATTCAACATAACTATAAAATTATTTTCAGTTAAATCTAGCATTAGTGTTACACTGTAAATCATCCATAATTATCACAGGTGTACAGAGAGTACACTTTTCAACCCCCTCCCACAGCGACTTAACCGATGATGGTGGGTCTATAGTTCAACATTTAAAAAGCATATAGTGGTTATGAACCTGCCTACCTGAAGCGTATAGTTTCTACACTTCAGGAAATGTTGGTAGTTATGGACAACCCATAATTGAATTTCATTAGCCTTTACATCATTGTGAATTACCATTTGCATGCATGTAACACTAACAGCATGATCTTTATTCCATACCGTATAGGAAAAATTGAACACATCTGTTCTGCAGAGCTAGTACAAATTTACATTAGCAACTATTGAATCAGTGAGGGAGGTATAATAAAGCAAGTGTTCAAATAAATGCAGCCAAATCAAAATTGTTTGTCTCCACACTACACTTCCTCATCAATGGACAGCTCAATGAGAACAAATGTTGTGGACAACTGTGGTTTGGACATTGCAGGCTGGCTGCACATCTTGCAATGATGTACATGCAGGAGATCGGTTGTTGAAGCATGAATGAAATCGATTTCCAAAAAGCTCCAAGGTTTACGTTTTGAAATGACTGAGAATAGGTCATTCCAGAAAACATCCATACCACCCCCACAGAGGAAATAGGAAGTTAACCCCCTTGGGATGTCCTAATACATTTACTATTATTAGAAACAATTTTTTATCCCCTCCCCCTCCAGATGGCAGAAATTTCCTCCGTGGGGGGAGTATGGATCTTTTCTGGAACGACCCAACTCATTTTCCATATGAGTGAGAATTCCTATCAGCTGCATGTGAGGATGCATATTACCACCTCTTTTCTCTACCCTTGCACAGTACAGAGAAGGAAAAACAAAGACCAGATTTTGAACCAAGTAACTTTGTTATTTAACTTAAAACAGCACTGTATATAACTTTAAATACTGTAAAAAATGAAATATCAGCTAAATACTAATTCAGTAAGAATTGTCTTGGTATGGAAATATCTCTTTCTGTTGTATATGCATTGTTGAATTGCCATGTCATTTTCTTGAGTATTACCAGAATATTAAGTATAGTTGAGCCAGCTTCCTAATATTATGGAATCTAGGATAGTTGTTGACTTTGTGGTTTTCTTAATAATCTCATTAATATTATCAACATTCCTATATGTGAAGACCAACTTCCATCCCCATTAAGTTGTACATATACAGTTGCAGTCTTCTTGACAGTCCTTGTTTTATCCGTATTGATGTTTGAGAAGCATGAATATCTAAAATATAATAATTGATTTGCATTTCATTTCACAAACTGGAAACCTAATTCTATATGTTACACTAAATCTATCCAATTAATTTATTAACAGTAGATTTATTCTAATTGAGGGAGAAACATACTTATGACATAAGTTATATTTGAACAAAACTATCTCTAAACTGGTTGGCAATCTTTTAGTTTTACTGATTCACCATTCAGTGCACAATATAAACTTGCAATACAAATGAAATTTCTGCTGTCTGAAAGGGGATGGGGAAATGCACTTTTAGAATAGTAAAATGTACTATTTATTCCAGTCATGTAAGCAATTTGCATGCTCCAAGGGAATAAACTATAAATTACAATATTATTATATACTAGAGTATTTATTAACATGCGATAATTTTTAGTCAAAATAACTTGAACAAGTGCAACGTTCACAGTGTAAAATGGATTAGTGATGAGTCTATGGATGGCTAACCTGAAGTTCAGGCCCTAATTTGAAATAGGGCCTGACACAATCTCGTTCCCCGAGCCTGCGATCCTTGGGAAGGAAACGAAGGCTCTGGGATAATCCGAATCAGACATACAGAAAACTGTATGTCGACCGAACTGCGCATGCGTTGGCAAAAGCAAAATAAATTGTTGGAAATATTTTATTGTTTCGTCTATAAAATGATGATTTTTTCGGGGTTTTGGTGGAAATGTCGATGTTCCTGATAGTGGGATACAAAAGGTGTGTTAGCGACTGAATAAGGAAAATATTGCGTGTGAAACAGGGTCAGTATAGAGCCGGCAGGAGCCGCGAAGTGCTGTTGTCGAAGAAAAATGTCACAATTAATTGTAGTCTTGTGACTCTTGTCCATTCACCTCTGTGTCAGTTTGAAAAAACTTTAAATGTAGAGACATTTGTGGTTCCTCCAGCATAATTTAGCCGTTTAACGCTATTATGTTTCTAATGGTTGAAAGAATACACGCTTGTAAATAAGTTTAATTGCTCTGAAGATGTTGTGAACAATACAACGAAACGTTAGCCAATAAATTTTATATTTTGTTATGTCTTGTCTGAAAGTCATTTGCTGGGCTTTAATTTTCATTTTTAAATTACGCTTTCCACCCGGTGTATCAATCGCTAATGTACTGTGTGTTAATAATTGCTACTGTAGTATTAAAATACCTGAAAAGAGTCTCAATTTTAATATTAAGTCGGTTATAAACCTTGATAATATAAAAGGTTTCAGAAGATTTGTATATCAGAGGAATATTAAAAGGAATTTAGACTTATAAAACATATCATTAAAAATATGAATATAGTGAATTCCATGTTTATATTGTATATTTTGTGTTATCTCTAGAAATTAACAGTTTATAAACCAAATCCTTGTTATATTTTTAACTGCCCTTATAGCTTTCCTTATATGTTTTAATATTTGCCAGCAGTTTATTAGGTTAGGGATGCAACAGCACTTTTCAAATTATTGAATTTTAACCAAATTTTGTGTCTGGATAGGAATTACTATTAAAGATTTACAGTTTGTAATGATAGAGTTGGAGCAAGTTAAGCTGCAATGTGCCTCAGTTTGCCCTACTTTGTTATTTTAAGCTGTTTAACGCCAGAATTTTTTCTCGTCAAGGGGAAAGTATTGGACTTGGTATTTGAATGGGTTAACCAGTCCATCTGCATGTCTACCTATCTTTGGTTAATTATCTCATTAGATCATTAAGCCACCCGATCATTAATGCACCCTATTTTGTTATTTCACTGTACTTCTGGACAGGGATGGATCCAGCATGATCTGGTAGGGGGGAGGGGGGGTGTGCCGACTGCCGAGTTGTGTCGGTCATGTGTGCCGCCCGCCCATCAACTACTGTATTTGAATTGTAATTGTTGTTCACAGTTCACTTATCATCATGTTATTACTCAAATTACTGTATCTCATTTTGTCTTTTTTGCTTTATCATGAAAAATAGCACCACACACCCCAGTAAATCCATCCCTGCTTCTGGACAATATTTCTTATCAATGGCCGGAAATGTACTTGACTTCATGTTGATTACTGCCATTAATTAATTAACTACTGTACTAAATAGGACATTCAAGGTTGGAGATATAATAGCAATAGAGGTTGCTATCATTGTAGCATTCAGGGGCGTCACTAGCCCAAATTGTCAGGCATTTGGCAATTTATTGTATCGCAATCGGGAAATTGTTTTTGTGGCCAGCATGATTTGAATTGGATAGGAATGGAAAATATATGAGTTTTTGTTGCCCCTTCTCAGAGTAGGTATGTGTTGTTTTATAGTGTAAATAACAAGTTTTGATATTGCAATCAAACTGACAGGGTAGTTGTCATGACCATGGTAATAAAAATATTTCTATGGCTCGGCATTTATATTGGGCAATTTTTTATCATTCATCACAAAATTATACCTGCACCCTAGGTGGTTCCCTGCAGGGGGTCATAACCAGGGGGAAGCTGATGAAAATGAATTCTGGTATTGGTGGCTGATCACTATCATTTAATATTTTTGTGAATAGAACATTTCTTAAAAAAAAGTATATGAATTTATTAAAAATATTTATATGGTCTCCCAATCTGGAATTCATACTTTGTAACATTTGGATCAAAAGGTTTATGACGTTTTCTTGGACAGAATCCAATTAATACAACCTCGTACAGAGGGCAGGGCTTCTTTGAATTACTGTGTGGACAAGATTAACGAAGGGATTGCCAATTTGGCATATTGTACTACTCAATAAATTAAAATCATTAAATACTTTATGCTACAATTAGCTGTAATATTATACTGTATATTATTGTGTTTCATATGACATCATAAATTTGACGGGGAGTCAACTCTAAATCGAGACACAGTCATCAGAGTGAATTAATTTTTCACTGTATGTGTTGGCCTTGTGTTTGGTGGCAAATACATGCAATTTCATATCATTTGCTCACTCCAGTACAGCATAAGCATCAATACATTTTAGGTTGACCCCCCGTCAGAACGTGCAAAATGCCATAGTGAAACCCAAGAATTCATTATATGTATTAGGTGTATGCAGACTGGAATACAAGTTAATATCACTGCCTGTGAAATTGTGGTTTATTTAGAGAATAAAGGTTTTTTGAACTCTTCTATAAATAAATTATAACAGCAAAAGATTCATATGCACCCATATAGGGAAGGGTTACATGCTACAAGTTAAAATGAGTATTACATACTCCTGCACTTGAAAAGTTTACAGTACAGTATATACATTAAATAATAAAATATATAACAGTAAATCCCAAGATTGGATTTATTGAAACTAGTCATTAGCTAGTTCTTCATTATTAAAGTAATCATTAGCTAGTTCTTCGCAATTAAATAACACAAAGACAAATTAATAAAAGTTATTAACCATTTCTGACACAAATAGTATTTGCCAAATATAGCACATATTTGATATTATAGTCAAATAGTACAGTGTACTGACAGTACTGTATACTATGTATAGATTAAAACTACAGAAAACCTGTACAACACAAATATGAGTAAAGTTTTCACGCTCCATTTAACTGTTGTGATATTATACGCATTAAGTATACGTTTCTTTGCATTTCCTTTGTAGTATTAGTATATAGCACAGCTCTGAAAAACCAAAACAATATTCGTACACTCCTAAACGGCCGCCATGTTGTATATAAAAATATACGGTTAAAATTAATTTTTGCAAAATTGCAACATTCCATTGTATACCAGCAACCAATCATATTCATTTCTGAGATGGATTATCCCAGAGCCTTCGTTTCCTTCCCAAGGATCGCAGGCTCGGGGAACGAGATTGGGCCTGACACAAAACCTGTCTAGACCGTGGGACGCCCACATGTTATTTTTAGACACACATGCAATATGATTGACAAGTGTTGTAGATTTCGTTACACAAAAAAATTATACTCTTGCATGAACATGTCCACAGAGTGTGCATTTTGCTTTTTAATTAAACTTTAAAATTCAAGGTACTTTTATATAATTAAGAGTCAGTTTCTCTATTTAACAGAACAGCAAACAAAGATTTAATTAGTCAGTTCTGTGCACGGCTTGACTGCCAAGCTTTCTCAAGGTCTCAACTTGCTGGACGCGGATATTAAATATACTCTAACGACTATAAACGGGGCTAACAACAGCAACAATACAATGAAATTCTCAATCGTACCACGAAGCCGAGGCGATGTAGCTCAGAAAACAACGCCGGTAGGACCTGATATTAAAAATAAGACTTTTGCCGGCGAAGCCATTTGGCAGAACATCTTGGCTGTCAACAACAAGCTTTCGCATACATGACTAGTTTGGCTGTTCTTTCAGCGTCGTGTGTCCAAAATTCGTCCAAGATTTTGATAAAGCCCTTTCAAAATACTGTTTGTTTGATTTATTTTCTGCCATAAAGCATGAAAGAAAAGAAATTCGAAGAAATCGGTAATGGAATTTGTTACGTGCGTTTGACCTTTATATTATTAATTCTGTGCCTTGAGCCCTTGACCGAGCTATTTTTAAAACTGTTGTTTATGTAAACTTGCAACCAATCAAAATCCTTCATGATGCTGATCAACCAATCAGATTTCCCGTCCACCAGATGGATGGGAATCCCACAGTTTAGATAGGTTTTGTGTCAGGCCCTATTCTGTGATTAGGGCCTGAACTTCAGGTTAATGGATGGCCCACTAGTAAATTTTCATTTATATCAAATTATAATTTCTCAAAACTAAGCGCTTTAAAAAAATACTTTGTAGGCATTATTAGCACCAGTCATAGGGCCATTATTGTTGAATTATAATCATAAATAACAATAATATATTGTAGTTTTTCAATTATCTTCACAGTGACAGTGCTGTCAGACTGCCAGTGCAAGCAGCCGTGAGACGTGAGACATGACAAACAACCCGGATTCTTCGGCCAGGAAGATAAAAATTAGACGTGCTTGCTTCTTGTTATTTTCTCTCTATAGACATCTTTATTTTTGAAGAGAAATTACTTATCTAAAGGTATATTTTAGCAAAAAAATACATTTCCAAACTGAAATATTTCATCTCAAGAAGGCCATGAAAAATTTGTACGCCAGCAATGAATTGGTCAGCGCCAAGGCAAATTCGCTTTTGCGCATGCACTAAAATGTCCATGAATCGTGGAGATTTTCGCAGCCTTTACCAGGGTCTTCTCATTTTTCACGCGCCATGTACGAAGAAGACCCTGGGGACGAGGTTGGTATATAATTTCTGCACGCCAAAGATCTTTGGCGCAACATACGAACTTTCCAGTATGGGCCAACTGTCATTTTCTCAAGTTCCTATAACTTCCGTGTTGGGTCAAGAGAATAACAAATCTAAAGGACTATAAATATCTTGCCTACCACTTGACAAATTAAAGGTAAACTGGAATGTATAGAGAATATTTATACATGGTTGTGCGGAAATATGTAATTTATTTCGAGTGTTGAAGAGAATATTGCTAACGAGTGAGCGTAGCAAGTTGCAAGTTGTTCCATTATGTGATTTAATAATCTAAATTTTTGAGTAATTAGGTCATGAACATATTGTAATTATTATGAGTATTTACTATTTTATCTTCGTATCAAACCAAATATATATAGCATTGCGAGCTTTAATTGCCAATTGGTATTAAACTGTGCCAGTTTGAGAACATATGTTTACATATTTGATTTAACTACCGCAAAATAAATCCCTCTTTGGCACTGAATTTTGCATGTTATTTAGTATTTTTGTATCACGTTATGATTAAAATGGACATATTTCTTGAATAATACTTTTAATCTGTCAAATGATAGGAAAAATATTAGTCCTCATACTTTGTTTTGGATTTGTTACTTTTTGTGATAGATAGGGGTACCAAAGCCTTGGTATTTCCAGAGGGTATTAAAATACAAAATTAGCCTGTGACAGTATATATGCTCCTGATTTTACTTCATATTCGATTTGGAGCAACACAAGTTCTACAACAAAAACGTACACGATGTACTGTGCAAATATAAAACGTCATATTTATAGATATTTAAAACAACGGTAACTCCGAAAATAAACATTTTAATAATATTCTAGCTTTCGACTAAGATTCAGTCATCATCAGGAATGATGCTAGATTACATTACATCGATATATATATATATATATATATATATATATATATATATATATATATATATATATATATATATATATATATATATATATATATATATATATATATATATAGTGAAGATTAAGTAATTTGATATGTAC